TAAGTATTCTTAGTATTTATAATCTAAGTCTTATAAGTAATAGTTATTATAATTATAAATATCCCTTACTTTAAGGGTTTTAGCCTTATATTAATATTATAGCTTATAAGCCTTATAATACTTATAGTTCTTATTTTAGTTTAAATTTTCCTTTTTACTTAAGACTTAATTATAAAAATTAAAAGTATTAATTTTTATTATTTTATAAGTTTTCTTAGCTTATAGCTTTCTTAAATAATAACTTAATTTATTTTTATTACTTTTATATATAAAATATAAATTATTATAGTAAGCTATTTAGCTAAGGTAAGTATATAATACTTTTATAATAATATTTATTTAAATTTTATTTTTAATAATTTTAAATTTCTTTTTATTTTTTTTAATATAATAATAGCTTTTATTATAGCTTTTTTTATTATAGTATTTATAAGTTATTTTAAATTAATAGTTTATTTTTTTATAGTTTTTTTTATTATAAGTATTATAAGTTTTATTAAATTTTTTATAATTAATAATATTAATATTTATTTTTTTTAATTAAGTTTTATTATCTTAAGTAATATAATTTTTTTATTTTTTTCCTTAATTAACCTAAGTATAATAAACTATACACTAAATAGTTAATATAAGGTAGATTCCTAAGGGATAAACCTAGTAAATAATTCTAGGTTTATATTAGTAAAGCAATTAGGAAACTTAATAAGTAATATAAATAATAGTAAATAATATTACTAAATAGTAAAAGTGTAAAGTGTATTATAATCTTAATTTTATATTAATAACTAGCTATTTAAAACTATCTTTAAGTAAGTGTAAAAAGTATATATATATTTTATTATTTATTAATATTTACTTTTCTAAAGTAAATATCTTTTATATTAGGAATTTATTTACTAATATTTACTTTCTTAAAGTAAATATAATCCTAATTAGCTATATTACCTAAAGGTTTTTTTATTATATATACCCTATAGGTTTATTTATTATAACTATAAGTTATTAGGTTATAACACTAAGGCTAATATTTAATAATTTAATTATTTTTTTTATTTTCTTTTTTTTACTTTTATTCTTATTACTAGTTATTAATTATAATAGCTTCTTAAGTAAATATAATAAAAGTAATTTTTATTAATTTATTTTATAAATTTTATTTTTAACTTTTAACTTTAGGTTATAGTAGTATATTTTTTTTTTAATTTCTTAGTTTAATTAATTTTATTAAGTAATTAAATAAAAGTTAAAATATATTTATAATATAGCTTTTTTTATTTAAGGTTTTAAAGTTTTTTTTTTACTTCTTAAGCTTTATTAATAATTTTAAAGGATTTTTTTAATTATTTTTTAAGGTTCTTATACTCTTTAAAAACTTCTTTTATTAATTTATTTTATTAAGCTAAATTATTTTTTTTATTCTTAAAGAATATTTTAAATTAATTAATTATTATATTTTTAATATATATTTTTATATATTTAATTTATTTTTTTAAATTATCTTTTAAAAATATTTTTAAATAAAAATACTTAAAGTAAGTTTATAATTTATTAAGGAATTAGTAAAGTTTAATAATATTTTTATTAAACTTCTTTAATTACTTAATTTTTAAAACCTTTTTAAATTTTAGTTTCTTATTTATAAGAATTACTAGTACTATTATAAATATTATAATAAGTATTACCTAAGGATATACTTTTAATAAGTTGTTAAATTATTACTATAGATTATTAATAGTTTATATATATTAAGTAATAATTTACTAGTTTATAAAATATAATATATATAAGTTTTAAATTATATATTTTATATTTTTTATATAAGTTTTAGTATTTTATTTTTATTACTTATATTATTTATATTTTTATTTAAAAGCTTTTATTAAAGTATTTTATTAATTATAAGCTATTTTTACTAATATATCTTTAAATTTAATAATATTATTTAACTAGTAATTACTTAAAGCTTAGCTTTTATAATTAATATTATATTTTAAAATATTAAAAATTAATATTTATATCTTAGATTTTATATTACCTATAAGATCTAGTAACTATTTAAATAAAAGTTATTAATATATAATAAATTATATATTAAATAATTAATATAATATAAATTCCTAAGGAATAAACCTAATAAATAATTCTAGGTTTATATTAGTAAAGTAATTAAAAAACCTAATAAATAATATAAGTAATAGTAAATAAATATTACTAAAGTATAAGTAATATAAAATATATTATAATCTTAATTTTATATTAATAACTAGCTATTTAAAATTATTTTTTAAGTAAGTATAAGAAATATATATATATTTTATTATTTACTAATATTTACTTTTTTAAAGTAACTATCTTTTATATTAGGAATTTATTTACTAGTGTTTACTTTCTAAAAGTAAATATAATCTTAATTAGCTATATTAGCTAAAGGTTTCTTTATTACATATATCCTATAGGTTTATTTATTATAACCATAAGTTATTAGGTTATAATACACTAATAGTTAAACATGTGTGGTCAGGCATATAAATATAAGATAATATAAGTCCTTTTTTTCCTAGGCTAGAATAAATTTCCCTGGTATAAAGTATTTGATTAGGCATTTATGCAGGATTAGGCATGAAATAGTTAAACACGTGTTGTCAGGTATATAAATATAATATAATATAAGTCCTTTTTCCCTAGGCTGGAATAAATTTCCTTGGAATAAGGTATTCAATTAGGCATTTATGCAGGATTGGGCATAGTATAGTTGGACACGTGTTATTAAGTACTTTTTTCCTAGGCTAAAATATATTTCCCCGGTATAAAGTATTTGACCAGGCATTTACGCAGGATTGGGCATATCTGACGAGGCTGTGATGCTACCTTGTAATCTTAGTCTGATATCTCATATGACGTGGCGCACTTATATTAACTCTGGATTACGCACATCGTTTATTGTCCCTCAAGCTTCATTCCTGCCTGCTTCATTCTATTTCTCTTTCAAGGCTGTGTGGCACAACAAGAGTAGTGCGCTTTTCGTACAACAGTGTGGCTCTGAGCAGATTCATTAGCTTACCATTTGCCTGGCTTACCAGCATTTGCGGAACCAAGACTTTTTTTCTTATAAGGAACTTTTTTTTATAAAGAACTTTTTTTTTTCTACCGGCTTCACTATTCTCATTACCACATCATTAAACCCCTCTTTGCAGCCTAAACCATGCGTCTCTTGGAATTCAGCGACACCAAATTCAGCTTTACAAAAGATTTACAAGACAAAAATATACCCCAATACGCTATTCTATCACATACGTGGGGGTTAGATACCGAAGAGGTCACTTATAAAGATCTAATTGACGGCACTGGGATGAACAAAGCCGGATTCAAGAAGCTTCAATTTTGCGGAGAGCAAGCAATGCAAGATGGCCTACAATACTTTTGGATCGATACTTGCTGCATCGATAAATCCAACTCCACTGAGTTGAATGAGGCAATTACTTCTATGTTTCGATGGTATCAAAATGCTACCCGCTGCTATGTATACCTTTCAGACGTCTCATTCCCTACGTTCGACAGTCTCCAACAATTCAATCCAGAGGTGGATACAATTTTTCGGGCAAGCAGATGGTTCACGCGAGGCTGGACGCTTCAAGAACTTATAGCGCCATTTTCAGTTGAATTTTTTACGAAAGAAGGAAAGCTGATAGGGAACAAGAAATCTCTCGAGCAACAGATTCATGAAGTAACAAAAGTTGCTATCCAAGCCCTGCGAGGCGAATCCCTGTCCGAATTTGATATTGAGGAACGATTTAATTGGGCAGATGGACGGCAAACCTCTCGTGAAGAGGACTTGGCTTACTGCCTCTTTGGCATTTTCGATGTTTCTATTGCAGCCTTGTATGGGGAAGGGAAAGATAAGGCATTTCGCCGACTGAGAAAAGATATCAGCGAGAATCATACCGGGCAAAACACCATGTGTACCATGAGGACAGCACAAGCCATAACCCGGATGGTGGACACTGGAATAAGCATCATTGATTCAGCGGAGCAAATAAGAAATTCGGAAGATTCTCTATCACAATATCTGGACAATTTACTGAAAGAGGTTGCACAGGAAAGAGAAGCGCTATCAAAGCTGGGAAACAAGCTTGATAGCGATATGAAGAAGAGACTAAATCCACTTATCGAGAAATTAAAGCAGCTTTGCGATAAGCTTCTTGTTTCTCCTGGGCTTAAGATGCAACGCCAGGGCAAATTCAAGATAGCAGAAAGCGCGATCAAAGACAAATTGGACGAAGAAGACAAGAAGAGCGAATATACCGTAATGCGCAAAGAATTTATTGCTTTCAAACAGGAGCTAATGGCAAGCAAGCTGGATAATATTCTGTGAGTTAAATGCGATAATTCAGCCATTCTATTGGGCCACGCTGACCTATATTCATTTCGAAGGGAAATCGTTGCAAACAAAACCAAACGGACTTATCAGAAATTGCAATCACTTGATCAACTCGAGGCAAATTATAACCTTATCAAATGGAATGATTTCACGCAACGCTCGCCAGACGAGTTTGATGAGCTATCCCAGCGAGTAGCTACACTTATAGCGAGGTTGAACTTGGGTTTTGATTTTAAAGGCCAAAAATTCGATAATACAGAACAGGCAGCGTATGGCACATTTGACTGGATGGTCCGTTTTGACTCTTCCATTGCTTGTTCTACTCGAAAACTAGAGGAGAAAGAGGAAGAAGTCTACAAGAGGCATAACGAGGAGAACTTAGAGCGCCGTGCCGAAGCTACACATCAATTTCGTTCATTTCTGAAGGACGATCGCCGAGTGTATATGGTTCTTGGCAAGCCTGGTTCTGGCAAGTCTACTCTCATGAAGTCTCTGGTTGAGAGTCCACAAGTTAAATATGAACTTGAGAGTTGGGCTCTAGAACAAAAGAAAAGGCTGATAAAGGCTCATTTTTTCTTCTCTGTTACGTTTGGGAGCGGAGGCCTACAGACAGAAGAGGCTATGTGTCGTGATATTCTGATTCAAGTTATTCGATGTCATCCAGAACTTGCTCTCATTATTTTGAGGGACGAGCCGACTCTAAACGACAGGATCAGCATAGGTTATAAAACTATTCAAAGGGCTCTTGCGACGCTTTTTAGCGGCAGAGATGGAATCGCTGAAAAATACTGCATTTGTCTCGTTATCGATGGCCTGGACGAATTTCGACCGTCGCAAGAGCAAACTCAGCAAGTTAATGAAAAAATTTTCATGCTGACTAGTAGCTTGATTCAAACTTCTAGCTCTCCTACAACTACCAAGTTGATTTTATCATCTCGACCGATACCTAAGCTAATTCCTCAGCAATACGAGGATCAAGTTCCTATTCTTTCATTGCACGAGTACACAAGATCGGATATTCTTCAGTTGAGCTTCTCTCAGCTAAATCAATCTGCATTGACACATCGAGATATCTACATACCGGACTATGAGGAGCTTAGTGAGCTCATAGCTATGAGAGCAGAGGGTATTTTTATATGGGCTAAATGGGTGATCAATGACCTGATTGCTGCCTGCATTCGCGGAGAAGATAGAACGCAATTTCGAGAAAGAATCAAAACGACATCTCGGAATATGTCTGATATATACATCGGCACCCTTAACCGGGTTGAAATCGCAAGTCGAAGCCAATCTGCTACACTCCTATACCTAGCTGCTTTCAGACCAGCGGGGTTTCGACTTAACGGGCTTGTCTGCTCCTGGTTAGAAAGGCTTGAAAATCCGGGGTTTCCCATGAATATTCCTGTTCAATTGTATGATCAACGCAGAACTCAAAACCTTCTGCAAGAGGCTGATTTGAAAGTGGAAGCCCTGACCCATGGCATGATGAGAATCACTGATATGCCATACCTAACCGAAGTGCGAGGCAACATATCTCAAGAAAGCACAACCTTTTTCTCCAAAGAAATTGTTTTCTTGCATCGATCTACTCAGGACTTTGTGAAAGACGTGTTGGAAGGTAACGAAGAAGTTCACGAGTTGGCTAATAGCTGGCTCTTCGGCAAAAAGGACAAAATTGAGAAAAAATTTGAGATAACTGATAACAGCCTATCTATTTTCACTCGTATCTTTGTTGCAGAAATGCGATTCGGAGTTCCTAGGAAAGATAATGAGGGCAACCCACACGACGACTTCATGGACTATGGGTTTTGGAGTTCCAGCCCGGATAGTATTCAACAAGATCGAATTACCAGAGTTACAGACTTTGGCCACTTCTCAGAGACTCAGAGAAAGTTTTATACAGGCCGTTGGGCAGGCCAATCGGTCTTTCTTCAATCTCTGTGGCGAAGAAAGGTTGATATTGAACAATGGTTTTTGTTCGGTGAAGTCTGTATCAGTCTTAGCTGGGCAATGTATATGCGTTTTGATATCACTCAGGAGCTTCCAGGCAGACGACTTGGTCGTGCACTTGCCTCACAGCTAGCTCTAATTGCCGCTATCGGGCCAAATGACGTAGCGACAGGTATCGTTTCATGGTTGCTGAAAAACAAGTGCACAAGTCCAGACAGCATGGTTACGATTTTTACATCAGAATATGTCGAAGAAATATGCAATGAGTTACTGATAAACGCAAACAAACGATCTCCTCATACCGGCAGAAACTGTTGTTGTGGAGAGAACGAAGAACCTGTTATTTACAGGAATGGAAGAAGAGTGCCTATCTGGCTTATTATTCTTCGTTTATACGGCCGGGCTGGTCGAAACGCTAAGAACAAACCATCTAGCAAGGAATTTGAGAGTTTCTGTCGCTTGCTAGAAGTATGGCTCGAAGAAAGCTATCCGAGTGATGCTGTCTTGGTACTTGCCGCGGATAAGCAGTGTTTATATGATGGAAATTATTCCGACGAAAATCTATACTACGTGGAAATCGAACAAATTGCACGCAGCATACTAGGATCAGAAGCTGTTGCCAACTTAGAATTGAAATTAAGGAGGGTGCGCGGAAACTTGAGGTCGCAAGGTCAACCTCAGCGGATCCATGCTCTATTGCGAAGTTTACAAATACGCAAAAAAGACACTCCATCTCGCCTAAATATTCGTCAAAGATATAGACATCTATCCAATGACAAACTTGCTGATTCCGATTGGGCGGTATATGGGGTTATATCATTAGAGCATGAATTAATGGGCGATTTTCATTGTAATATAGTTTCTTAAATGTAAATAGTTCAAAGATATAATAAAGGAACTGTTATAACCTAAAACCTATAATTATAACAATAGGCTTACTAAGTAAAAAAGATTAAATTAAGGTAATTTATTTTATTGATAAAATATTACTTAATACTCTTAAGCCTTAAGTAAATTAAGTAAAACTTAATAAACTTAATATTTAATTAAATTATATATATATATATATTTACTTTTTTATATATATTATATAAGCTTATAGCTACTGTTAAAAATAAAGTGCACTAGTAAGTTTAGCTTATGTAACTATTGTTTAAGATAAAAAGCAAAAGTATAAATTTATAATAGCTAAATGTTAAATAAGCCTTAACCTTAATAGAAGCTTTTATATAATTTTTTTTAAAGAGTAAAGTTTATTATATTTAGATGTTAAGGGCTTAAGAATTAAAGGTATATGCTTTTATTTTTTAGAGGTATAACTTATTATAATATCCTAACCTATACTATAATATCCTAACTTATACTATTGTACTTAGGTATAGGGTAAGTTCCTAATTTATAAACTAAGGCATTAGTTTATATTAGCAAAAAAATATAAGAGATCTAATAAGTAATATAATTATATAACTAATAAAATTATAAATAACTAATTTAATTATTATCTAAAAGTGCTATATTAATAACTAATTATTTAAGTTTTATTTAATAAGTATAATAAATGTTCTTATATAATAAGTTATTTTATAATTATTACTAATATAAGTCTTATAATACCTAATAAAAATATACTCCTAGAGTTATATTTTTATTTTATAAATAAGTATATATTTTATTAAAAAAAAAGCTATATTCTAATTAATTATTCCCTTTTAATATATTACTAAAGATATATATTATAAGAATCTTATATAATTAATTTATAATATAATACTTTTTTTTTTATTAATTTTATTCTTAAGGTCTTAATAATATATAAGGTTTATAAATTTTTTTTTTAGTATAATAAGTAATTTTTTTTTCTTATTATAATATTTTATAGTATTTTTAAATATTATTTTATAGTTTTAAAAAGTTTAATTATTTATTATAAAACAATTATAATAGTAATTAATATTATTAAAGTTCTTATAATACTTTATTTTTTTTAT